CCATTTGCATAACTACATAGCTACAAGCAGAATACATTCACTTGGAAACTCACCTTCAAACCATCAGGTCCTTCCTTCCTATCTGTCGTTTACAGCACTTTGCGCAGAAGTAGCGTATCGGGCCACCGATTTAGTTCAACAGTCAAACCTCTGCTAATGCCGCTAAAAAGAATCGAAACACGATCTTGATGCCTCATATCCATGCACGCATGGATTGATTTCTTAGTTTTGAGAATTTTCTGACTTTTTAGATTTGAGAAATCGTCTGTCTGTGAATTTTGTCTGTGCCTATTTTTGTATGATTTAATTCCGAGCGCGAAAAGTATGGACGGACTAGCAACGGTCTATGTCGATGTCGGAGCATCCAGAGGCGTACGGTCTGTGTCTCCACCACCATTGAATGAAATGAACCCATATCCATCTTCAGAAGCATCCAAGTTCATAGCTGCACCCTTTACCAATTCCAAACAGGAAGCTCACGCGACACCATTTATGGCGGCGGGTAGTGTGCTATTCGACTCTTTAACAAGCTACACAACAGCGCAACAGAACGGGCAGCAGGTAGTGGATCTCAGTGATCTTCCAACGACTCCAGAGACAGAAAGATCGACGAGTGAAGACATTGGAACCTCTACAAATAGCGAGAAAAGCACGAACAGGATTCAAATAGACTCAAATATCCAAAATGGCGCTTCAGCGGCAGTACGTACAATGCAAAACAGAAATGATCAAATATCAAGACAAATGTCGCGACCAGTTAGAGGAAAAACTGATCAAAATGGGCTGGAAAAGCCGAAAACGTGGTATGAAATTTTGCCGAAGGTGTTGCGAAATTTCAAGACACAGGACCGAGAGCATATACGACGTAAGTACCTGTCGATGAGCCAAACGTGTATTTGATTGACGAAATCCTACATGACCACAGAGTTGATGCTACCACGTTGTGAGCTGTGCAAACAAGCTGAAAATTTTCCGAAGGCAGATTTCAAATGCACAAACGAAGGATGCAAATTGACAAATCAGGCGCTGTGTTTAGCATGCTGGCAATTAACTCATCCATCGAATAGCCTACAAACACATCATCATTTTCCTGCATCAAGTAAATTTGTTAGCAGCCCTGATTGGATTTAGTGTGGGTAAATTCTGATGCATTGTCTGTGCCCTGCAGTTTGTCGGCAATGCCAACTAGACCAGATTACTTATTGGTGTGCTGAGTGCGACTTGCAGTTTTGTAGTCACTGTTTTGATCAGATTCACAGTGTATTAAGAACAAAACGACATCGCAAGCTGGCTACAGAGGGTTTGTCTATTCGTGCTAAAGAAGTTATGTTGTGAATATCTGACTCTATTTTCGATTATCTTACAGACGCACCTGGACCGTGCATTGCAAAGTCTCACTGGTCTGCAAATTTTCAGAATGTGGTATTTCGTGTGCTCGCGGCTCGAAAATATTCAGCTCGAGTGACTAGTAGCAAGCACGTCAACAATGTCGGTGAAAAGCGAAAGCGCAATGTTGAAGTGATTGTCATTGATGACGATGACGAGGATGAGAAGGAAATGAAAAGGACAAGCATTCGACCAAATGCGTCGATAGTGATTGGAAACACCTTGTCAAAATCTGACGGTTGTGCCTTAACTTTGATACGACCTGGTAACCCTTCAGAAGCAAGAAGTGGGCACAGTGAGACGAGACTTTCTAGTTGTACTAATGTTGTGTTTCCTGCTGTTCAAAATCCTCAGCAGATTACGTCTTCAGTTGCGCTGACTAATGAATCAGTAGCGCAACCATCTATCGTGGAACCCATCGTTTTTTCGCATGAAATTACCGAACCACGCTTTTCACCAATGATCTCACGCCATGCAGTCTCGGCGGGTTCAACATATCGCCAACCTACGTCGAATAGACACAACGCGTTCAACATCAACACAGGTAAAAGATTGCTCTGGAACAGTGATGCGTCCAAATATTCTACTGCATCTTTGATGGGAAATGAAAGAGAATCGTTTCATGCGCCGAACTTGATGACCAACGAGAAAACGCAAGCTCCGCCAACGTCTATGTCGACTACTGAAAGCACTACACACGGAGTGCGGCCAACTCTATCCGCCAGAACTACCGAATCAGCCAGCACATATACTACTAATGGCCTTTTCTCGCTTGGAGGTTCTGTTGTTGTAGAGAATGCACTAGTTGACTCGCTGGTAGATCGTTATCATGAATTGAACCAGAATGTGACAAAGATGGAGCTGCAAGCTGAACAATTAACTCGGCAGATTGCTGTTGCGACGCGTCAGGGACCTTATACGGCTGCTCCTATCATGGTCTTGTTAAGTAAGCTGCAGTCTGTTCTTGAAGCTGCTAGATTGCGACGAGACAAGCTGTTTATCGCGATGATCATCCAGTCGGGCGATATTATGAATTCTGTGCGTCTATTAAGGATTACAGAACTCGATGATGTACCGCAGGTCCCTATGATTAGCCACCGCAAGTGCTTGCAGATATCAGACGATATTAATCAGCAGAAGACGAAGCTTGTCGTATTAGACCACTTTTTGACTGAAACGCTTAACCAATCTAATGAATTAGGCTCCAGCTATGAGAATTCACTCATCCGAACGATCAGCGCTGAGATTCGTATGCACGAGACGAATATCAAAAAACTTAAGAAAGCCCGTGAGGTTGAATTTGTGCGTATCGTACAATTCAGCGTTAGAATTCGTGAAGAGCTGAAGCATGCGTTTCAAGGCACTGTGAATTCGCAACGCCCGCCGCAATGACAACAGTATGGTTTGTTTCTGTGTAGAGTGATTGTATTTTTGTAATCGGTGTTGCAGTATATCTATGAGCCAATATAGCTAAACAGACAAATATTTTAAGGAGACTTATAAATGCCGACTATCCTTGAACTCTTTCTAGTATTGCGCTTACCCCTCTCATAGTAAGTTTAGAGCTTTAGAGACACTCGTTGCAGTATTCCTGGTTCTACATTCAAGCCGACGGAAAGCAAACATTAATGACAGATGACAAGTACAAATGATGATTACGAGTGTTTGGTCATGCAAACTGTGCGCCATGTGTTGTTTTGTGAGCCATCCACTGACAGGCAAAACCCTACCCAGCACACAGTTATGCACACATATGATCATCTAAACCCAGCGTTCGTAGAAAAGAACTCGCTTCTTTGCCTACTAATCAGCAATTTCAACAATGCTGACAACAGAGAAATCGACGACAATAATTCTAAAGGAACGCACCATAGTACATGGATAGTGGATTGTCCGAAATGGTCTTTGGAACGTTTAAGATCCGAAAAATCAACCATCAAGCGGTACCTGATTGCACAGCGTCGAAAGCTTTCTGATGACCGTCAACAACCGGCTGCTCATGTGCTGAAACTATACGAAACGCATGCACTGCTAAAACTTTTTCTTCTTGAACGAGATATCGAGTATCGGCAAGTTCAAATTAGTCGTTCTAGATCGTTTCTGCAGTCGCTGCATATGCTACTGCTGCTTTACGCTACGTACTTCGAGCGCGTTTACGGAAGGAAGGTAAGCAAAATAATTGAGATGAAATGTGGCGTTTTTATTATTGCATGTCTATTCCTTATTCTGTAGATATCAAACAAAACCGATAAGAAGGCGGTCAATAAGCTGTATAACATCTTCCTTGCTGGATCACAGAACGCCGAAACTTAGCGAGTAAAGCTTTATTTGTTCGTGTCAGTTCCATAATTGTGCTGCGCGATACACCCTCTATACAAACACGCTATGCATGGGGATAGCGTCATCCTTTTTGGAATCCATGCAGGGCACTGAAAGCCAAGCGTAGTAGAAAGACGCACCACCAAAGATGTGCAGCAAACCCATAGCAAATCCCAGCGCATTGTGATTCTCATCTACCTCAAATACAAGGACGATTATCAGCGCAATGAACGCTGCAGCCAACCACTTGAATGAACTGAATAAATTCTGCTTGTTTAAAGGGGAGATGCCGGTGGCAGGCGTGAAAATACGACGGTAAAAAACACCGATTATATAGCAGATCACGAGTAGCGCCTGGTAGAGCATGTCGTTCCAGCTATCCTTAGTCTTAAAGATCCAAGCGCAAGCAAACGCCACATAGCGCAATACAATGTTGTGATTCTCGTCTTTGTAGCCCATGAGATGCACGCAGAGCAGTAGAAAATACGACACAGTCAGCACATCCGAAATAAAATGCCAATCGTCTTCTTTGAGAAACAATTCAGTGTCAAACGCCTCGGCGGCGTTAAAAGTGAAGGCCACTATGAGATGCAGGATTCCCACAAATAGCTCGAAGTGGCGGCGATTTTTCTTCATTACGTTAAGGGCCGGAAGCATGGCCAAATCCGTCAGCGCCAGAAACACGAAGCGAGCAATCTCTAGAAGCATCTTGGTCGATGTGTAATTGTCTTCTGGTCAACCTTCAGCACCATTATGGTCCACGTGTATTGCGATCAGATGCTGATCTTTGGCCAATAGCGAGCGAGCTAAGCGATTTGCGTACCGTAGTGGGATATGATCAAAACAAGCACCAATAGAATTGAGGAGAATTGCACAGCCGGACCTGAGCAACGTTCTAGTTGCCAAACGGTATAGCCAATAATCTAGATTGATACGTTCACATTACACTTCTCATACGTAATAAAGTGCTAGACTGGTGAGGACGATGAAACTCATTAAACGAATCGTTCGTGGGACTCGTGGGCACGAGGTGCAATGCCATATTTTGTTATCAGACAAAGTAAAAATATTAAAATCAAAAAGTAACACCAATCTACGCGAAAATGTGATCAGCATATCCCGCAAGAACTCAGAGCTCAGAAAATTCCAAACTTCACGAGCTGATAGAAGCTCTTCGTCATGGTCAGAATAATATTGCTGGCAGCCTTTAACGGCTTCTACTGATGAGCTCATTCGTTCTTGTCCCTCTTCACATGCGTGTAGTACATACTTAATCTACCTATACAATTTCTATCGAGATCGAAATCAGGCCGTGCACTTGTGAGCCCTACCTTCTCAAGGTCTCCATGAATATCCTTATATCTCGAAAAACAGCTAGAGGCACATATTGCCTCTGCGCCGAGATGCACACACCGATAATTTCATTCAGCTTGTTTTTGAGAACGTTGCTCCGAGTGCATCTAGTTGGCCGTAATCCCAGCTTTTGACGTATATATCGTCAAAGTACGTTTGTACGATCGTGAATACAGCTGAAAAAGATAGTCCTATCTGGCGGCAATTGAATGTTGCCGGTGCGTTGAATAGTCACAGTGGCTGCAGCGGTGCTGTCGTAGCTTTGCGCTTTGAGGAAGCGTAACTTAGGTCACTGACATTTCGTTCTATACCTAGAACAAGCTCGAGTTTAGCGGATCGCAATCCGCTTACTCCAAGAGTAATTGTTACCCTGGTAACAGGGATGTGTGTCACACGAGAATGGGCATGGTGTGACTGCACCCAAACGAGAGACCGCTATGTGGCTGGGTAGCCAGTAGTTATGCGTGTATTTAAATTTTACTATATATACAGGAAAATTTATACATTTAAAATCAGTCGGCTTTAAAAATAAATAAAGGTCAGTTTTGGATTTTAAACGGAAGAGTTAATTAGCCTTGGGTTAAGGCGTTCTATGTCTCGGTGCGACCACGGTGCACACTCATTCCGCGTCGTCCGGTGTCAGCCTCACTATCCACTCCTTTGAGCTCCAATGTTATCTACAACATCCGACGAAGAGCTGCCAACCCCGCAGTCTTCGTCCAGTGAATAACGTGTCACTCCACACGCATCTGAAGGGCCATGCTCAAGATGCCTCGGACTCTGTCCGACCACACCATCAATGGCATGCAGCGACTGCATCGCAACGAGAGCAGTGCTCAGTGGTTTATGTACCACTTCACGTGCATCACGGAGGCCTCGCCCTCAATGCCTCGGCCCTTGGTCAACCAGATCACGCATGACATGCAGCGACTGCTCCGAAAATCG